TTAACCTCATTAACCTTGTTAACCTCATTAACCTCATTAACCTTGTTAACCTTATTAATCTCGTTAACCTCATTAACCTTGTTAACCTCATTAACCTCATTAACCTTGTTAACCTCATTAACCTCATTAACCTTGTTAACCTCATTAACCTCATTAACCTTGTTAACCTCATTAACCTCATTAACCTTGTTAACCTTATTAATCTTGTTAACCTTGCTAACCTCATTAACCTTGTTAACCTTATTAATCTCATTAACCTTGTTAGCTCAGCTACTCTCTTCATCTTCATTAACCTTATTAACCTCATTAACCTTGTTAACCTTATTAATCTTGTTAACCTTGCTAACCTCATTAACCTTGTTAACCTTATTAATCTCATTAACCTTGTTAGCTCAGCTACTCTCTTCATCTTCATTAACCTTATTAACCTCATTAACCTTGCTAACCTTATTAATCTCGTTAACCTCGCTAACCTCATTAACCTCATTAACCTTGTTAGCTCCATTACCCTCTTTATCTTCTGTACCTCAGTAACCTCTTTAACTCAGAGGGTTCAAAAAGTCAGGATTGTCTTTGTGTTCAGATTCAACCCTCCTGCTGTCCTCATCTGTTATTTGACCTGAGGGCAGCAGGAGGGTTAACTCTGTGCTTTTGTTTCCTTTCTCCTCACAGCGTAGAGAAGTAGCCAAAGCGGTCTTCTGCCTGGTGGTGATCTTCGCTCTCTGCTGGTTCCCGCTCCACCTGAGTCGCCTGCTGAAAAGGACCGTCTACAAACCTCACGACGTTCACCGCTGCGAGCTCCTGAAGTTCGTCCAGAAGCTTTAAACACATGCTGTGTTTATTTGTGCTTTTACTCTGAAATAACCGTCTCTCCTTGTGCAGCTTCCTGTTGGTGCTCGATTACTTCAGCATCAACATGGCCACCATCAACTCCTGCATCAATCCCATCATCCTCTTCTTCATCTCCAAGAAGTTCAAGAACTGCTTCAAGGTAAAAACGCCTCTCTTCTTCTTGAGGCAGAGCCTGCTGTGACATCACARTGACATCACAGCGAGGTCACAGTGATGTCACAGCAAGGTCGCGGGGTCGGGGGTTGTGGGTCGTGGGACGCAGGAACTCTCTGAGATGTTTTGAGATTACAGATTATCTGGAGGAGGGAAGGGAGTGGATTCAACACAGRGAGGTCGAGACCTTTGATGAGGGGTTTGTGGGAAACAAGGGGCGGAGCTTTGAAGGAGCATTCCATCTGCACTGATCAGGAACAAGCTAAAACACAGTCTGAAACAGCTAAAACACAGTCTGAAACAGCTAAAACACAGTCTGAAACAGCTAAAACACAGTCTGAAACAGCTAAAACACAGTCTGAAACAGCTGAAA